TGCTCAGATTCCACAAGAAAGATGGGAGTAGATGTCCATCACAATCCGCCTGTTTGTTACTTTCTGAATATGTGCCTCAAATTCTAGGAATTAGGTTGTTTGGGGTTTTGAATATCAGAAAGTCTAATAAAGTCAATGGATGAAGTCTTGCAGTCCTATATCTAATCAATAAACCATTTTCCTTTTTATTTTTTCAATACTCTACACCTATCTTCTTTTTTTTGCTGTTAAAGTTCAGAACACCTATCATTTGCATTGCTGCTGTGACAATGATCCTCTTGTATTTAAATGTGGTGAAGACACAAGTTAAAAGCCTTTGGTTTTTATTATTTTGTGTCCTTAGTATTTGATTTACTGAGCCTGTACAAAATCTTACATGAGCATAGTCTTCTACAGATGTTTAATCCAGCTTACCATGGCTTGGACAATACTGAACCTGAGTTTGATATAAAGTGGATAAGGACTGCTTAGATGATCCACATGTCAAAGCCAATCTGCTATTTCAGGTCAGAGTTGTCTTCAACTATATGTTTTTCAAATAAAAACGTCATGTCCTTATCCTTTTTAATTCTCTCATCGTTTTATTCTCTTACCATGCATGAATTTTGCATTCAAGCACATTTCTCGCAGTTAGAATTACCAATCAATGATTAAGTCACAGACTTGAAGTCAGTATTGGATCAGAGTATGCGAATCATCCAGGCCATGATAGATATATATGTGCTAATAGTGGGTGGATTTCAAGCTCAATTACTTGCATGAATCTTCTGCAAATGGTCGTGCAGGTATTTCTGACTTCTTAGTAGTAGTACTTGCCTAGAATAAAAGACGAGTGCTATTGCGAATTGGGCATTCGGCCTTGTTTATATTATTACGTTCTACAGCTAGTGCTAGTCCTCTTTCCTGTTTTGTTTATCTTGTTTTGTTTTTTTTTTCCTTTGTCCTCCTAGAGAAGTTCAGCTTTTGTGTATTTCCTTTTCACAGTACATTAGCCTAAAAAATATAGGGCCATTTCAGCAGGACTCAAAGCTTCAGCTTTTGGGTCCTAACTTTATATTTCTCTCTATTTCTCTTCATTTCAAAATAATCCATTTCAATATCATTTATTAATTTTTCACGTTGTGAATCCAGTCGGAGTAGGATATTAAACTGATATCATCAGGCTTTGCTTAAGTGGAGTTTCAGCTCATTCAGCCCTTCAATACGTTCAATTTGGTAGACATAATTCCATAGTTTTTATTTTTATTTTTGTCAAGGATACAGTAGCGTAACTGGAAGACTTAGGACCAAACAATATATTTGGGTCTACATCATAGCCCCTTTAGTTGTCACATTCTCCCACAATTCAGTGTTTTTTTGTTTTGAGTACAAGTGATTGGGGGAGGGGAGTTTACACAAATATTCATTGGGTGTCTAGGGGTTTTGAACTTCAGTCCACCTGAGACACTGAACGATGGCAGCAATTCTTTTAATTGGCACAACCTGAGTTTGATAGTGAAGTTTATTGTACTAATGTAATAGATGATGCAATTATATTTTGAGAAGTTACAGGTGACCTCTGTGAATAAGGAACAAACAACATCAGATCAGGTATAGTTTTCTTACCCAAATAAAGGTTACCGTAAAATGAAAACAATTTTTTGAGCATATATTGGGGGAAAAGGATCTGCCTCTTGCTCTTTGAACCTCTCTCAATTTGCATAATGTCGTTTTGTTTCCTTCAATTCAGTAGTTTAAAAGCAACAAATTCCCCATTTCTCCAAGTGTTCAACACATGATGAAAGAGGGAAAGATCAGAAAAAAATATATAGCAGAAGAATCATCTGATGCTCAAATGTTGAAGCACTGTCATCAAGTATTTAAACCCACAAAGAACACGTTCTAAAAACAAAGCCCCAAAAATAGAAAAAAGGAAGCAAAAGAAGTTCCCACAATCTCTTCTATTAAGAAGCTAGCAGAAGATGACTATGTTCACAAACACATTGACCTACTAGGGGTAACTAAATCTGAATCAAACACATTGACCCCATGACGATTGGAATTTTCTCTTCGAATTTAAGAGTCATCATCACCTCCCACGTTCTTGGATGAGGTCCCGGCCTTCTTTGGGAGCAGAAGGTTGTGAATGTTGGGCATGACACCACCATTAGCAATTGTAACATCCCCAAGAAGCTTGCTGAGCTCCTCAAATCAGCAAGCCCATGCTCCATGAAGGGCTATTCCAGCCCAAACCCAAGCCCATTCTGACAGAACTCAAATCCGCTGTTTCTATTATTCACGCAATTTTAGCGTTCACAAGATCATCATTTTTAGCATTGTGAAATGTATACGGCATGTCAGTTTGATAGTCACACTCGCCTAGTGGTTGTAAATAAAAATGATACGTAATTACGCACTTTATATAAGGTAGTACAACATGCAAGTATTTTTTTTTAAAAATGATTCGTTTGTTGTGATGGAGAAATTAAAGAAAAAAATTGTTTGTTGTAATGGCTTCTCCCTCGGTAATGGTTCTATTGATACGATGATAAGAAATGTTGGAGGACACCAAAAATTATGTTGAATATAATGGAGTTACATAACGAGTAATAGGTAGATGATAGGAGGGAAAGCAAAACAACTACAAGAAAAACTTTGTGGTAGTGTAGTTTAGCTATCTGTCATTGTGAGAGTTAGCTATGTGTTGTTTAGTGATAGACTAAGTCTGTAATATTGTTAGGACAATAGTTTGAGAGCTGTTAAGAGTTTGCTAATACAGCTGGAAGCTAGGTTGATTCAATACACAAATTTAGAAACGGATAATATTCTTCTTGCTTGTTTTCTCTCAAATTCATAACTGTTGTCATGGTATCTAGAGTCCGTAGGCTAACGCCATAACTCGATCTTCTTCCGTTGCTGTTTATAAACACTAACTCTTACTTTTTGAAATTTTCTCCAATTCTTTGAGAATTCTTCAATTCTTCTCGAATTCTTGCTCTCTTTCCCTTCTCAAAATAGTAAATGCTTCTCAATTAGCTCTTCCTCAATCTCCAATTTCTTCTCTCATTTCGAGTGTTGGAAACACGGTTACTGTAAAGCTTGATGATTCGAACTCTGTTACATGGAATTTTCAAATGGAATTGTTGCTTCGTGGAAATGGTATTTTGGGTTTTGTTGATGGTCGTTGCCATGTCCTCCTCAATTCACCGGTGATGACTCTCTTCAACCTGTATTCAAGGGCGGCCCTGGCATGGTGCAAGTGGCGCCACTGCACAGGGTCCCCGAATTATTTTTTACTTTATATTATATATATTAATACTATAAAAACTATATATATATATATATATATATATACTCTAGCGTGCATCATAGTGAAACAAAGTGTATTTGGTGAAGTTGGTTTTTAGCGCATATCCCTTGGTACAAAGGTCAAGTTTGAGTCTCAGTGATGTCATTCTATTCGTATTTTTATTATTTTTTCATGATAACAAAAAAATTTAAAATAGATATTAAAAAAAAATCACATGAAAAAAAACAAAGGGGAAAATCCAACTACATGAAAAAAAAACAAAGGGGAAAATCCAACTAAATTAACAGTATATATCACACCCAAACAAAAAAAGATACTCTAGTCCAATCAAAACAAAACAAAACAAAAAAATCATTCTTTCTTCTTTCTCTTGAACTCTTATTTTTTACCGAACATAATAATATTTAACTTTATCAAATGAAAACATTAAAAAAAATTATGAATTTGATTTGTGATTGTTATTACATGCTAATTGATGATGAATTTTAGTTATAAAAAAAATTGTTTTATGACATTAAGTTATGGCAATTTTTTATTTTTTATTTTTTATTTTCGTATTTTCATATAACATTATGTGAGGGCTCCAGTTTAAGTTTCGCACATAGCCCTTAAAATCTCAGGACCACCCTGCCTGTATCTAAGGCATATTAGATTTGGAAGATTCATGATCAAGCTCTCATGATCTTAATCACTGCTACTCTGTCTTCTTCTGCTATTTCTTGTGTGATTGGCAGTCAGACTTCTTGTGACATGTGGCTTCATCTCAAGGATAAACAGCCCCCAAGTGTTTTTTTGGTCAGCATTCATGCTGTAAGTGTAAGAGCATGTTTAGTGGGAGCCAAATGGCACAGGCCATAGCTGTTTTCAGCCTCAAATTAGAAAAATGGGTTTCTAATGAGCCGCGCAGCTCTAGTCAGGTCACTTATATCCGGTCATTTCGTCCGGTCACCTTTGGATTAATCCAAAAGATGAAAAGAAATCTAATCTTACAGTAGAAATGGATAAAATAAAATATTTCTAATGAACACCCGACTAACAAGCTTAAGTTCACAAGAGCACTATAATAGTGCACATACCTATCTTGAAAACACATATTAGGGTTTTTTAACGTGCAAAAGGTTAGAGAGAGACTTATTTCCTCTACACTGATGGCTCGCCTAGGGATCGCTCAAGACAAATATCTTGATATTGTAGAAGACTAATTAACAAGGTATTTATGTAATTTAAGTCTAATTGAATTTTCGCCTAATGCTATTGTGAAAATCATGACGTTCAAGATCCTTGATTATGTATTGGGTCTTATAGTTTTACCCAGTATTAAGTTTACACTGAGGTCCTATGTTTGATTCCCCCATTTCCAACATCGCTTGGATAAAAAAATATTTAAAAAAAGTGTTACCACAGGGTCATATTATGTATTTATCAATGCTCTCCAAGGACTTAATATACTTCACAAGTTTGATGCTTCTCACTTGGGTATTGAAACCCTGGGAGTTATGCGTCCTCCTTTAACTTCTAGCCATCTTCCAAGATGGCCAAGTATATCACTTTTATCTGTGACATTTTCTGTGCATGGTTACTAATGGATATCCAAATCCAAGGAAGCAAATATCCCAAGGGCACACTTGTGGCTGCCTCTCTGAACGCTATTAAGATACTTAAACATTAGAAAATGCAGACGAATAAAGATCACACACATCACACTAACAGCTAGCTGCATGCAAACCTGTCTCTTGCTTCTTTTCTTTTTCTTTTTACATACAAGCCTACTGTAATATGCTGGATAGTACAACACCTAATGACAGCAGATGACTGCCACGACACTCAAACAAGATTGGTGATCAAACAAGCTCAAGCTCACAAGAGCACAAGACTTCCTAGTTATGAAACCAGAGCACACCTAATGTTCTTCTCGATTAAAGCCCTTTCATGCCCGGCATTCTTTCGAATAACTCAAGCTCAACCTTGAGCGCATTTGATCATCATTCTGCTCAGAAAAAGCGCATTTCTTGAGGATGCATAGTTGTGATTCATTTTCGTTCTGAACTCTTCATGTTATCCATGGCGAAACACATCAAAGGAACAAACTAGCCATAAAGTCAACTCATATGCTTTATCAGTGCAAAGAGATCACCAAGCTACTTCTTTGGATAGCAGATAACGGAAAGTAAAGTTGTGAGGAATCCACTCAATTCCTTTCCAGGTTCTTTTGTGTTGAAACGGTTGATTGCTTTTTCTTTGAAAATCAGGCATAAAATGCTCAATCATCTCCATCAAATCAGCTGAGCACAATCCTGTATCCTTTGCAAATGACTCCACAATCTTTGGAAGAAGGATTTTCTGTTCCTTGTGCACAAGGAAGGTCGATTGGATGTATTCGTCTTTTGCAGTTTCCAGCTCCTCAAACACTCTCTTGGATGTGTATACACGAACCTGAACAGTAACAGTAAATGAGTTAGATCCTGGAGAACTACTTAAAACCTATAACTGACATGTTCTACTAGTTCAAAGAACATGTTACTCAAACTAATAGCAAAACTTTGATATGATTCTGTAATTCATTTAGTCACATGGAAATTTGTATCATGGCTGCAAACCTAATCTTATGCAGTATAAAATTATTTAGAGAAGCTTCAGTGAGTCAGACTTATGGCCAGAGCCCCAGGCCATTAATCATGATCTTCAAATAAGGTTGCATTTAAAAATCAAGTCAAAATTGTCATTTAATTAATATTCTCATCATGTTGGTACATTTCAGCTTGTTGGGATTTTGATTCATGAGCGAAATTTTGCCAGAAAAAACAATTATATACTCTGGATAACCCTCTATAAAATTGTTTTGTATCTAGCAGAAGCTTATGCTTTAGTAAAGGGACATCATGTACAAACAACAGTACGGTAAGGGCATAGGTGTATACCGCAGGATCAGAATGACTTCCTGAACAGAGTGCAAAATGCAAAAGAGGTTCAGGATGCTCAATTGCATACGCTTTCCGTGCATCTCCAACCTTGAATTTTGTTTTCATGGAAAACAACAGCCGCAGCCACTGTAGGGAAATAAAGCTCATTGCTCAGTAAGTATAAATGAGTAGATTCTTCGAAATCATAAATTAGTAGAAAACATGTACTAACAAATTAACTTTTCTATATGGTGTATATCAGAAGGTAAATGGGTCGTAATATGAACTAGTTGTTACAGAAAGAGAGATTACTTGTCCAGGACGAGGCAATCTGCATCCGAGAATGGATCTTTGTATCATGTCTACGCTTATGGCGTGACCTCCCACATTATAAGCAGCCTGAAGAATGCAGAAGCTTGTAATGAAAATTGTGCGCCATGCTTATTACAAAAATTGTAAAAAACAATTCTGATTACCTTGAGTAGCAGTGAAACTCTTTTTAGATTATTCTGTGGAATGCCATAGACCAAAAATGCCTGAAGACAACAGATAAGATAAATTGGAAATGCTCAAAGACTCAAAGAAAAACCGCAAAAGAAAAATAAGAATATCAAGCCATCAGGTTTTGTACTCTTTCTTGGCTGTAGAATCATACATGCATCACGAGTGCATTATGCACGTTAATCCAAAAAGCCAACTTCTCCTCATGCTTCATCTTTCTGAGATCAACTTCTTCCAATCGACAGATAAGTGACCTACAAAAAGAAAGTTTTAAGTTTTACAAATTTAGAACAACATATTTATGAGGCCTATAGTAATTTTCACTATCACAATTCATACATGTTCGAGCGGAAACCCTTCTCCATTTACCTTTAGCAAAAGGTTATCCATGGTGGAGGTCAAACTAAAAGCAATTATTCAAAACCATGCACAAAAATGAATTGTCATTTAATGTGGCATGTACAACTTCATCAAAAATCTCACAACAGAAGCACCAAAGTTGAAATTCTGAACTAAAGATAGACATCTAACCACAGTGGACTTTGTAACGTCATTCTGTTACTGAGGACAGCATTGGTTACCAGTTCTTTTTCTCAATATGTTGATCTCTCAGTCACCAGATACAGCAGACAGGAAAACAAATTTATAACAGATTGACAAATAGCTTGATGCAAAATAATTAAGGATTCGGCATCTTTATCTCAGAATTGGCATACCTAAATTTCTTTAGTGCATGTTCAACATCTCCTAACTTCTCTGCGTCCCTACAGATTGAATGTACCTTTAGCATTCTGCAATAAGGTCCACTCATTTCATCTGGCCCTTCAATGTGGAAAGGCTTATCGGAATGAGAATTGAAAAATGGAACTTTTGTGCGTTTTGAGCTCCACTTTTCACCTTGACTGTGAGAAGATAAGTTATACGTTGATGATGATGTGATTGGAGAGCTAGAGTAATCCTGACTGATAACAGGTGGATCTGCAAGTTCACAAAATACGGTTGCAATGCACTTAATCATCTCCTCCGAAATGCAGTTTGGTGTGTCTGGAACTTGATCAGAGAAATAGGTTTCAAGCTGTTCCGTCGGATATACATTTGTAGTTGCACTCTGAGCTTGCTGCAGAGGCAACATATAAATCACACATTAGAGAAACACATAATTTCCAAAGCAACTATAATATTAATAAGAGGAACACTGAAGAGACAAACAAAAGGAAATAAATAACTGCTGTTTGGTAGATTTTCTCTTATTCAGTTACCTCTAGCATCGAGAAAGGTAAGGAATGGTATGAATCTACAGCTTTAGCTCGAGATTTCATTCGAGGAGAAGTTCTAGTTGAACAAGTTGAACGCTGAGACAGTGATGAGTAGGTACGATGAATGCTTGAATCTAACAGTTGTTGTTGTTCTACTATGTCATTGCATTCCTTTAGTGGTTTGACAATCGAATTCCGAGGTGACATAAGATCATCAGAGTAAGTGACTGTATTGCTATTTTCTGGTGTAACAGCTTGTCCAGGAGCCACGCTCAATTCAGATGATATTTGTTGATCAAAGGTTTTCCGATACAGGGAAAGAAGATAGCGCTCCAAGTACACAACTTCTAGTTCCAACACAGCTATTTCCTTAATGACTTCCTTGGTAGACTGGAGTCAAGGAAAAGGAATATAAGATCTTGGAAAATGGAAAAACAATTAAGCTAAAGATGTGTGAAGAAAGGAAGGCATTGAACTACACTGAAAGTTCCAAACCAATAGTGTCTGAGATCAATTATCTTAAAAATGGCACTCAAATTGTTTCTTTATCTTAATTTCTTGAAGATTTGCCTAGATGGCAGGTTAATGTACCTTTCAGCTTTGATATGCTTTACATTTCCATATCCTTTAAATAAAAGAAATAGAACTAATATGATAGTGGAATTCCATACAAGGGAGTGAAAACAGAGGAAACACATCTGAACTGATAAATTGCACCTAAAGCACATAACAGACTACCTTTGGTAGAGAGGTTTCAATTGTAGAATCCGGTGATAATGGACGATAACTTAATGCCTTCTGTAAAGCATGCCGTACCAAAAATTGGTCCTCCAGTTGTTTTTGAAGCTGTAGAATCTACAAAAGGAAGAAATTGTAAATCATCAGACACATAGGTTCGAAGAACACCTGATTTGGATAAGCTTAATTAACTAGTCCAGCAATAACTACTTGGATAAGCTGAGATTTGTACCTCCTGATATAAAGAACTCTGAACATCAGAATCTGTAGATTGCCTCTTCATCATAACTTCAACATAGCAGTTCGGTCTTCCCATTTCCTTCTACAAAACAAAACAAAGACTACTTAAATAAGATTGGTCAAACAGTTGGATTGTACTGGACCAAAGCAATGAACAGGAATGCATGTGATTCGAGAAATAAGAGAGCTTAAAATTGACCTATATATCTGACATTCTGGCCTACTGGGCTAGTCTAGTAAAACTTGTCTGGATCATAACAATTATGCACAGAACATGTAAATACAAGATTGTAATGAAAATAAAATAAAAACTAAAAGAAACTTTTACCATTTTAAGACTGTAAGGAGTTTCGAGGATGCTATTCAGTTTATCTTTCTCAAATTTTCTGTTTACTGGTTCACTGTCAGTAAAGGAGAACAAAACTTGTTAAAATCTGAAATGAAGCATATACCTCATAGAGTTTTCTGTATTGCAAAGAAGGTCAGTTTCTCACTCCTGGCTGGCAAACCCAGTTCAGCTGTTAAGACTAGTTAAATGGGTAATTGATAAAATTATATAATAACTTATAGAATCTTCTGCCAATGAAAAATCAAATTAGAAGGTTTCAGAAATTAAATACACCTGCCCTGTGTAGATCCAGTAAATGAATTAAATTATTTTTTCTGATTCTCAAAAATCTTTTTGTAGTTCAAGCAAAGCATCATTAGGGTTACAGAAGAAGGAAATGGAAAATTGAACGTGGAATTTTTGTATATAAAAAAAAGGGTATAAAATGAAGAACACAAAGCCACCTGTTGGAACGCTTGTGTCTTGAAATTCCCTCCATGAACTTGTATGGCATCAAACTATTACCCTGCCACTAGATTTCATGCATAATAAGATCAAAACTTGGTTTTGTCCACTTACAAAACTCACTGAAACAACATTAATTGCAGAATGAACCGCCCTCCAGAAATGGACAAGTGCCTGAACAGAAAAAAACATCCAGCATGAAAGAAACATCCAAAAAACCCATTAAATGCACACAGCACAAAAATCTGATTGAAGGAAATAGAAAGCACACTGAGCTATAGAATGAGACCACTCACAGAAATTAGCCTTATTCGAAAGCTGAACCAAAAACTAGTTTTAGGGATGACCAAATATATGTCTCTAGCTATATTTATTTCATATCCCAGAAAATCTTATTTATTGGCTCTCTGCTATGAATTTGAACTATAAATAGTTCTGCAAGGATAAGTGTGAAGTATCTGTGCTATTATATATACAACTATAGAAGATAGTGCTCTAAAGGGTCACTAGCTAGTCGCTTGTCTTAGAAAGCTATGTCACCTTTCAAGAGCTTTGGCAATGGTGAGCTTTTTGCATTGCATTAAAAGAAGTAAATCTGTGGCTTTTGATTTAAGATAATATTGATTTCCAAAAAGTTCAAAAACTTCACCATTTGAAAAATAAAAAAGGGATAAAGAAATTGACAGTTGCTCTAGAATCTGTATATACATAGAAATGTAAATCAGAAAGTAACGGCTCCTCCTTTTTTGTTTTTTTGCCACAAGCGATTGTTGAGTGTATTAAGAAATTTAGCATGAGCTTGTAAGGAGTTAGGCTACTCCATATTATCAATTAATTTTGAGTGGAACTTTAACTTCCTTCAACGATGTGAAGATATCGATGAATCAAATATACAACTACAAAGATAACTATTCTTAACCATTTCACCTTACAAGAGTTGTTCAATTTGACTTTCTAAGAACAGAAAATCTTATGCATGCCAACTGTGAAAAGTTCTCACTAAACTGAGAGAGTTTGAAACTACATGAAAACGACTAGAGCCAAAATTTGGTGGGATACTGCTCCATGTCAGTTGGAGGCACGTGTACTCAATTTGAAAAGATTAACCAATTTCTTTGACTGGACATACTGGTGCCCAGAAATTGCAACCATGTGACCTTGAGGTTTTGTGAAGATTAGATTACAACCAAAAATTGACTAGGCCATCCAAAGTCTCCCAAAAACCTGTAACTCCATACTCCATGTATAGAACTTATATTATAACTCCGGTTATTGGGCACTTACTTGTTCATGATAAAAGTTTGACTCTCGTTTTCGTGATCGATACTCCAGAATTTAGGCATTCTTTACACACAACCAAATAAATTCAAGTATACAAGTCTTGATACAATGACATGAACATTTGTTATAAGCTTAAAGCTGTGCAAAAAGTCTTGAAATGCAGACATCAGACAGGTACAAATAAACATTTGTTAAAGCTGTGCCCCATACAAAACGTGAGCTGTCCAGCCAAATTGAAGAGGTCAGAGAGACTCAAAGTATAAATGGATGGTTGGTCCATAAAAGCTAAGCTAAAAGGGGGCTGCAGCACTTAGAAAAACAAAAACCAAAAGCCAGCAACCTCAAAAGGGCTGAAAGGTGAAGGTCAAAGCTAAAACAATTTGTATGATTGACATGAAATGACTGGTTATTTTCGTGGGCTTTCATTGTCCGATTCCTTGGAGGAATTACTGTACAACCAACTTGTCCAGTCAAAGGCTTTGCATGCTGCTAAAAGCTTCTTACCTTTGTTTTCAATTTTTTGGGAAGGGTGCTAGTGAAAAAATAGAGAAGAAAAATAAAATATGACAAATTAATTAACAATGCCTATTTGATAAAAAAAAAATATTTAATTAACAATGCCTAAGTTTTGGCTTTTAATAATTGCCCTGAGCCTAAATTGAAGTTGGGGTGGAATGAAATCCGATGAAAAATATATTGCATTTGGATCTAAATTCAAGGGACAAATGCCAGTCATAGTGGAGTTCGCAACTTCTTGATGACCTTGAAATAAACAACATAATTTTATTGACCCAAAAATAAAAAACAACATAGTTTCTGGACAACTCTTATCAAAGAAATTTATTAAAATAAGAGTTGATGTATGTTTATTAGCTATTAGAGAAAAGTAGAGCTATAACCAAGACGTCCAACCAAAAAGATAATAATAACAAAATTTGTATGGGAAAGCGGTCTTTGAGACGTTAATCTCATTTGAGAATTTGGTAAAAGGGGGCTTAGGGGATTGAGCATATTGTCATTGTGTCTCTAGTTCTACATGTTCTAAAAGTGCTCCATCAATTTACATTATTTTATTTCAGTCTCTTTACGTCAACATTTTCAATGTGGAGAATCATAGTGGTATTTTTACTATGAGTTTTGTTAAGGTTAGTCGTTCACGTGCACGTAGTTAGACTTGGATACAGATCAAATTATTTTGAGAGAGAACAAAACCTATTAACTGTATCAAAGTTTCGAAAAACCTACTATACTTCCTAAAAAAACTCCCATCCATTTGTCATATGCAATGTAACCCGCAAATTTTATTCATAAAACTCACCTGCGCCATGTAGGTACTTTAATGCTAGAAATAGGACCTAAAATGTAGTCCAACCTTGTAATCCAAGTCAAGAAGTTTCTAATATGTGATGACCTAGAAATTAAACTATAGTTTAATCATTGTATTAAGATCCAAACAAATTAGAAGTCTCACAACGATGCTTGGATTTCATATAACAATGAGGAAGCAAATTGTTAAATATAAAAAAACAAACATTTTCAATCTTGAGCAAACCAAATAGCCATTACCAAAGAAACTGACAGACATGCTTACATTTCTCTTAAAATTAAAGCTTCGGATTCCGTTTATCACATTGTTTAATTGGAAGCTAAACAAAAATTTTACAAAAACCAAAGTCATATTGAATTTAGTGCAATAAAAAGCTAAAATTTTGAAAGATGCATTTGTCTCTATGTATAATCGTGAACTTGAATAAAATAGTTGTTGCCTTTCTTTAATATTTAGAAGGTCAAACAACAGAAAACTATAGAAAGTTGCTTCAATTTTTAATACTTGATAGATAATTTATTTTACATTCAAAAACAAAAAACATATTGATGCTTGTTTGTTATCAATAAATTTTTGTATAAAACAATAATATACTAGTGAAAGCAAACCTTTTGTTCTTACAATTTAGCTGTGTACAACGGGGAAAAATAAACAAAAACAGCAAAAACTAGTTTTTTTAGTTTAGAGTATTATAAGTTTGGGTTTTTGACCGAAATGGTCCCTTAATTATTGCTCGAGTTTCATTTCGGTATATGAACTAAAATTTTCATTTCAATAGTCCTTCAACTCTCCATTTAGTATCAAAACGGTCCTACCATCAAAGTCTGTCAATTGTTCTGTGAAATGAAGGGGCAAAATTGTCCTTTTTAGGCAAAACCATCTAAAAAAGAAAGAAATTAAAGAAAAAAAACTATAAAAAAACTGCACCTAGATATCACCCCCCACCACCTCCACCTTTCTATTCTCTATGATTCCTTTGCTCTCATTTAAAATAAAATAAAAAGTTTTGTGGTGGGAATGGGATTTGGTTGTTGGGGTGGGGTCTGTGCAGCCCACCGTTTTGTCCCCTCTTTCTTCGTCTTCTTGGAGTTAGTCATAGAAGATTAATCCTAGCAATCCCAGTAATATGAAGCTTTGGGGTACCCAAGCCTAGAAGAGAGATTTTGTATGAGGCAAGGCCATTTAAAACTATAATGGATATCAAAATCAATTATGTGGATCATTGTTATTTTCTCAGCTACATTCATTACTGTCTCATTTGAGAAGAAATTTGATAGCTTCTTAAATGCACATGTGGCAAAATAAAGATGGTTAACCTTCTCTCATTTTCAAAATCAAGATTTGCAGCCATGTGGGGTGGCTCGGGGAGGGAATAGAGAGAGAGGAGAGAGAAGGAGAGAGAGACAGTTTTGCCCCTCAATTTCCCAAAACAATTGACAGACTTTGACGGTAGGATTGTTTTTATACTAAATGGAGAGTTGGAGGAATATTGAAATGAAAATTTTAGTTAGTGAACCAAAATGAAATTCGAGCAATAATTGAGGGACCATTTCGGTCAATAACCGTATAAGTTTTCTTTCTATGAAAAATGAGCATATGCAGTAAAAATTAAAATAGTGTCATAACATTATCTTTTCAATCAAATATACACTGAACTTAGATATAAAATTAAAGACAAAATATATGTTGAGAGTTGAGACCTATACAAAATTTGGTGTCATCTCTAACACACACAAAGAGACACATGCGAGTTTAGGTTCCCAAAGGGACCAAGGCAAGTTACTCAAGCCAATGAAAGGAGCAAAGGCATCATCCACTTCTGGTTTAGGCTCTTCTTTCCTTCTAATCATGCCTGTTATTTACGGATAATATATTAATTAACTTAATTAATCCCATTTTAAAATGTTGCGGCTACGTACAAAACAAATCCTAAACACACAATTTACTATAGTAATGTAATAACAATAATCGTTGGGACAAAAAAAACATCGTTTGATTGATAATCATGATTATAATCTACAAATTTCTTAATTGTCCATGACAACTTGTATACAAATTTCTTCATTCTATTTTCATATAATGAGTTTCTAATGTGTAATGTAAATCAGGCAGCAGATTCTCTATAAATAAACGTAAGTCTATTTCAAAAGCTTACAGCGCATCATATAAAAAAAACAAAAAGTAAACGATCCACCTCAAATATGGTTCACAAGAGCATAAGCAAAAAGGGTTGTAAAGCATTACTTGTGTTATAAGCCAACAGGTCCAGCCTAATGGAAAATACCTTAATTTGCAAATCAGTGATCTCAAGTTCAAACGTGTGTGTGTAAGAAATCTCCATCCCTTTCTTAATTTTGGCAAATAAAAAATAATATTTTTCATGCTATAAAAAATTAAAATAAATTAAATAACAGTCACCAATTTCATTAATTGATATGGCAAATAAAATATCATCTCCACTCTCTCACTTACTTTCTATAAAATATAATAGTAAATGTAAAAGATAAAAATGAATAATATAATAATGGTTTGTAGACTTTCATTGCCTACTCCATTGGAGTGACCAACTTTTTTCATGAGGCCAATGGGTAGGCAACATGCCACCTACGTTGTTATAGTACAATTTTGTCTACTTCATTTGCATACTCCCTTGGAGATGCTAAGAACACTCATAAGTATTTATAAGTCAAGCCAAACACATTTGCCTTATAATTGAAACACATAATTTATCTTTGATCATGTGTATTTCCGAATATTTCTAAGGAAAACTCACACTTCAGATCCCTCACATTTATGCCTCAGTTTGTCTTGAAATGTTTTAATAAAACTTTTGTAGACTATAATAGCATTTCTTTGATCTTGGACCCTTTGATATCAAATACCATCCCTTAGACCATAATTTAGTTGGACTAACACTGAGTCAGAGTCTTACTAAAGCAAGGGTAATGAAGGAGAAGCATATCAAACAACATTACCTCAAAACAACTCTATAAACGGTCAAGTTCCTTGTCAATATCATTAATAGCTTGGTTATATGCCTGCATTGGTAAAGACTGGCTGGTGGTTTGAATCTACAAAAACACCAATATACCACCAAAATACCCGTTAAGGTACATAAAAACGACAACATCGATCATAAGAGTACTTGTGCTTCTAACTTAGGGTTTGCTGCTCTTTGCTCTAGGTCATTTGAAAAATAGAATAGAAAATTAAATTTGGAAACTAACCTTGACAATGATCTTGTGCTGAAGGGGGTGAGGATACTTGTAACCGGCAAATAGAACATTCTCATTCCTGTGCAACTGCCTGATCGATTGTCATAAATTTTCGACACACATGCTAATAATCAAATTATCTCTTGTTCTATTCTCCTAAGAAACCCTAGTCGCTCTCTCCCTCTGTGAGTCCTTAAGGAAAACTCCATAGAGGGTGAAGGAGGAAGAAGCATCACTGCCCCTCCTCACCCTCCCCTCTTCTCGTCTTTTCCTTTTAGGTTAGTGAATAAGCCCACTAGGGCGTGTTGAAAAAAAAAGTCCCTTATGGTGGTTTCTTATGAGCCATGGTTAGATTGAAATTCCTCATCATCTCTTTTAGTCTATGTTCTCAATCAAATTCTACTTCCAAAACCCGCTCCCTAACGCCCCTCATATTCTCTAAATTTGATTCTACATCGTTTTTTACGGAGGTTGTTGCAAATCACCCAATTGTTCTTTGACGAAGTTGTTGTTTTGTTTATTTGTTCGCTCTTATGCTCAGATAGATTGCTGGAAATCATATTTTCCCCATATCTGTTACGAATGCGGTGGTGGGTGTGGCCACGACGGTGCTTCTTCAGGTGGTGATGGTAGGGTTCGTCTAGGCTCATATGTTGTTTTAGAGTTTTGGTTATATTGGGTTTGTGGACTTTGTTTGGGCTTATGGTTAATTGTGGTGATGTGGGCTAGTAGTTTTAGTGTGGTTTTTGTCTACGTTAGTTTTGTTTTTAGCATGTTAGTTTGTTGACCTCTTGTGATTGGTATTTTGGATGTCTTGTTAATGTCTTTGATTCTATCTATCTAATGAAGTTTCTATTTAATTTTTTTTATAAAAAAAAGAAGAAGAAAGGATTATCATAAATTTTCAATCAATTAGGGTTTGATATTAAGCTTATACAAGTAACCTCGGAATGAAAAAAAGTCAAGACAGGACATAAAATTTGAATAAAAGGAGATGTATGTCGGAGGATGTTGCCAATGGTGTGGTCCTCTAACAATTGTAAAGGATGCTGCGTTTATGATATTTTTGTCCCTCTTATATGACACCCTACAAAAGAGTAAACAAAATCAGGCTTAGGCTTTTTTTTTTTTTTTTTTTTTTTTTTTTTTTTTTTTTTTTTTTTTTGGTGAGTAAATCAGGCTTAGGCTTTAGGCCTTAGAGAGGAGCAGAAAGTTTTCCACGGGGATTAAAATTACTTTTCTTTGCCTTTAGGGACATCAAATCGTTCGTATTGTTCTGGTGCATTCATGGTGCTTGCTAGCTTGGCTTCCTTATCTCTCTCTCTCTCTATATATATTTGGGTTACAGAAGAAGCAAATAGAAAATTGAATCTTAATTAATTAACTCGCACTAAACTTAATTAAACAAGTGATTGATTGATTTAATTAAACTATAAAATTAACAAAAACTCAAGAACCAAAACAAACAAAACACACAAAAATTAAAGGGGTTGAAAATCAATTTGTAAAAGTAATAGGATACCGAATCCACCTCTAACAATTAATCCAATCTACGCTCTTATTTACCTATTCGTTATTTAATTCAATTGATGTTATTGATTAGTTTGCCTTTTGCATGAACTGTCGGTTGTATCAGAAAATCTTATGCATGCCAAGTTGCCCACTGTGAAAAGTACTCACTAAAACCAAAAAGAAAGAAAAGTTAGTTAGAGAAAGTTAGAGAGAGAGGCTCCTCCTTCTCTCTAAGTTTTCTCTCATCTCCACCGCCCTCTTCTGAGTAGCTGGTGTCTCTCCCGTTGCCCTTCGGGGCGGCTGCTCCGCCACCTTTGGTGTGGCTACCCTGCCTTCTTTCGTGTGGCTCTTTTCTTTCACTTTCGTTTTGTCCTTTTGAAAGCCCTTCCCCTTTTGTACTCTCTGCTGCAGACCCTTAAGTCTTCTACTCCTTCCTCTGATCTTTCTCTCCCTTTGTTCTACAGCCCTCACATCTCCCTAATCTCTCTTTCCTTTCATCCCTCCCCCACTCTGCCGACCTGTTTCTCTTTTCCCACATAATCTCAAATCCAAAAGTCCTCTATCCCTAAGATTTATTTGGTTTGCCACTGGATTGCTGCCGTTGTTCTACTCCATCAACCCATTCTCAGATCTCAGACTTGGATCTGCACTTGTGGGTTCTACGAATCTATGGTCAATCTTGACCACAACTTGATAGATCACTTGAGTATGACGCATGGGGGCTTGCTCCCCCAAATCCACACTCTACAGATCTCCTCTCTTGGCTCTCATGGCCCTTGCTTTTCTTGTGGCGGCGACGGCATATCTGTGGGTGGTGACGGCGGCTTGTTTTATTTAGGGTTAGATATTAGGGTTTTTGCTTCTTGTGGGCTTTTGTTGTGTTGGGCTTGCTATTTTGGCACTTTAGGTTGGGTTTTTATTTTCTTCTGTTTGAGCCTAGGCAGTAGTCTTATGTTAAAGAGATGGACCCGCTCCCCTGGGAGGTGTCAATACTCGGATCTCTAACTTGATTACTTGTTCTTGGTGTCTGTTTGTGTTTAGTTGGCTTTATTTTGGGCTGTTGGTAGCCTTGTCGTGCTTTGCTCTTTGTTTGTTGTGTCTGGCTGTTGGTAGCCATGTTTCACCATGATGTACTGTCTGTTGTTTAATGGAAAGTACATTTGACCAAAAAAAAAAAAAAAAAAAAAACCAAAAAGAAAGAAAAAAGTTAGAAACTATAATATGAAAAGGACTGGAGACAAAATTTGGTGGGATATATTATGTGAGTTGAATGCACGTGTTAACTCAATTTGAAAAGATTAACCAATTGCTTTGACTGGACATACTGGTGCCCAGAAATTGCAACCATGTGACCTTGACGTTTTGTGAAAATTAGATTACAACCAAAGGTTCACTAGGACATCCAAAGCCTCCATAACTTCATAGAAGTTATAACTCACGATAAGAATTTGACTCTTGACTCTCGTCCTCGCGTGATCGATAGTTCATTATCAAGCCTTTTTTATGAACAACAAAATATATTCCAGTATACAAGTCTTGATGCAAAGACATGAACATTTGTTATAAGCTTAAAGCTGTGCAAAGAGTCTTGAAATGCAGACATCAGACAAGTACAAATAAATATATATATAGTTATTAGGTTAAAGTTGTGCCCCATACAAAACGTGAGCTGTCCAGCCAAATTGAAGAGGTCTGAGAGACTCAAAGCATATATGGTTGATCCATAAGCGCGAAACGAAAAAGGGGCAGTAGCACTTAGAAAAACAAAAACAAACTGATTTCACCTTTTAACCTTTTCTCGTTTCATAACTATCCATGAACTTCAGGAGACATCACATCATTAAAATTCACACAAGTACTTTGATAGCATGTTTACAAAAGGCAATAATCGATATCAGTACCAATTTGCATACCAACAAACAACAATTATCTGACATCTCTTGTCAAAATATGCCTCCTTACAATTCCTTGAATGCCTATTAGTACTCCACTGAATGCTTTGCCACCTCAGCCTGCAAACAGGAATTTAAAGATGTAAGAACGCTCATCATAACATAAGTATTCCTAAGTCAAGTCGTAACACATTTGCCTTACAAATTGAAACACATAATTTCTTGTCAATCGTTTGTATTTTCAAATATTTCAAAGGAAAACCCACACTTCATAACACTCCTCACATTTACACCTCAGTATGTATTTAAATGTTTTAAAACTTCTGTAGAATATAATAGCATTTCTATGATCTTGCACCCTCAGAAGTTTGATATCAAACACCATCCCTCATTCCTATGATGTTTAGTACTTTGATATTATCAAGTTATTTAAAACAAACTATAATGTGAGTTGAGTTTTTCACTATTTATTACAAGTGGGTCGTATTAGCGCAATATTAAAAGTATTAAAATGCTTTAAATGAAAGTAAAGGTCATGTTGCAATCTGGAAAGCATTCCCAACACCTTAATTTATTTGGACTAACACTGAGTAAGAGACTTAATAAAGCAAGGGTTAAGAAGAAGAAGCATCAAACAGCATTACCTCAAAACAACTCTTTAAATGATCAAGTTCCTTGTCAAGATCATTAATAGCCTGGTTATATGCCTGCATTGGTGAAGACTGGCTGGTGGTGTGAATCTACAAAAAGACCAATGTACCACCAAAACACCAGTTAAGGTAAAAACGACAATATCATACGAGTACTTGTGCTTCTAACTTAAGGGTTTGCTCTTCGCTCTAGGTCATTTGAAAAATAGAATAGAAAATTAAATCTGGAGAACTAACCCTGACAATAATCTTGTACTGAAGGGGGTGAGGAAGCTTGTAACCGGCAAATAGAACATTCTCATCCCTGTGCAACTGCCTGATTGCCACAATATTTCAATCAATTATGGTTTGATTAGGCTTATACAAGCAATCTTGGAATGAAAAAAAGTTTAAGACAGAACATAAAACTTGAATTAAAGGAGAATGACATGCATACATGCGGAGGATGTTTCCAATGGTGTGGTCCTCTCTCTCAATTGTGAAGGATGCTGCGTTTATGATCTTTGTGTCCCTCTCATATGACACCCTGCAAAAGAGTAAACAAAATCAGGCTTAGGCTTTAGACCTTAGAGAGAAGCAGAAAGTCTTCCCACATGGATTAACATTACTTTTTGGTGCCTTCAGGGACAACAAATCTTTCGTATCGATCTGGGGCATTCATGGTGATGGCTTCCTTATCTCTCTCTCACGGACTGAGGAAAATGCTCCTTCTCTTTTGTGGGGCGTAAATGACTGAATACAGTACCCCAGCAATGTATACCCTCTTTCGTGGGGATCTGAAAGTGGACACCAAACAAGAGTTAGTTGAGATAGTTGTATACGGTATAGACACCACACGAGATTACAGTGAACTATATAACAAAGTGAGGGAAACATTATAGACTGATAGTGAAAAAAAATTGTATTCAAAGGAAAGGACCAACACAGAAATCAACATAGAAAAGACAAAAGCCAGATGAAAAAAAGTGATAATCGCCGAGAAGCGAAACTTCTGCACACCCAGACCAAGGGCTTGGCAGAATAGAATGTATCAAGTATTACAGATTCACTTATAACCAGAAAGCCCCAATCAAATTCAGTTAAAAATCGGAAATTTGTTGAAATTACGCAGGAAAACCCACAGCTTGACTCGCAGAAATCAGAGAAAGAGAGAGAGTTCGCTTATAACCAGAAAGCCCCAATCAAATTCAGTTAAAAATCGGAAATTTGTTGAAATTATGCAGGAAAACGCACAGCTTGACTCACAGAAATCAGAGAGAGAGAGAGAGAGAGAGAGAGAGAGAGAGAGAGAGAGAGAGCACTTACAGGGACAATGGCGTATACGGACTTGTCCTGTGCTTGCTACGGTGACCAGTGACGAAGAAGACGGATAGAGGGAGAGAGATATAATAGGTTTGTGGGTCGGGAGCTACCAACTTATGATGACTATATATTCATCTATATATATAAAGCAAAAAGCAGAGATAGTAAAACATTTAAAATACCAGAAAATGTCATTGGTTAATACAAATATTAAGAATTGAAATTATTAATTAAATTAGGATAATATGGTAAATTCATACTTTTTCATTTTAAAAAAAAATTAAAATTAAAAAAAAAATCAAATAATGGATCCTATTTTTATGGAACACAACTACCCATTATCTTTTTTAATTCTAAAATAAATTTTAAAAATTTTAAAAAAAGCCTCTCGCAAGCGTGGGAGCGTATGCGGAGAGGCTAGTATATATAAAGCAAAAGGTAGAGAATGGTGAAACATTCAAAATACCAGAAAATACCCTTGGTTAATGCAAACATTAAGAATTGAAATTATTAATAAAATGAGGATAATATGGTAAATTCACACTTTTTCATATTTAAAAAAAGTAAAATTAAAAGAAAAATCAGATAATGACCTATTTTTATGGAACACAACTACCCATTATCTTTTTTAATTCTAAAATAAATGTTAATTTTTTTTTTAAAAAAAGCCTCTCGCAAGCTAAGAAGCGCGTGCAGAGAGGCTAGTATATATATATCAGTTATTCTCTTATTCGGATGTCCGCACGTTATTATCGTGCGGATCCTATTGTAAACAGGCAGGAAAACAGAGAGGGGTAGTACAAAATACACGGCGTCCGCACGATAATAACGTCCGGATGTCGGCATAAGAGAATTTCTGTATATATATATATATATATATATATATATATATATTCTTGTTCAATATAAACACCCTAAAGAAATATAAAGATGTGTTTGTTAACTTAAATAAAGTAGGAAATAAATTTAAATAAATGAATAAGTAACTAAAATTTTAATTAAATAAGAAATTAAAATAGCTTCCTCACTTTAAACTCTTCATCGTAGCTTTTTACCGGAATTTATGTACGTTGTGGGCCTTTTGCTTGTAGTGGGTTTATGTCTAATTAGCTTTTGTTTGGGTCTCTGGCCTTTTTGTGTTATTGGTAAGATCATTTTACTTTTTGTCTCACTTTTGTATTTCTTAATAAAACTGGTTTATGACAACAACAAAAAAAACCTATAGCTTTTGTACAAAGTTTCTGAAAAAATAGATACTAATTTTTAGAATACAATCATGAAAAACAAAAGATTTTGTACACAATCCATAAGCATTCGACCCAACCTCAAATTTGAACCCTTAGGCCACTTCCAGCAGCCCCCTAGGGCTCGGGCTGGGGGGTGGGCAAGAGCCCAAAATGAAGTTCCAGCAACAGAGGCTGGCCCTGGCAAGCTGTGGGGACCACGAGCCTGGGTTGCCCCGAAGGTAGGAGGAGCCTGAGTGCTGGCCCAAGGGCTGGTGCCACATGGCAGCTTCTGGGCTGTCAAATTCATTTTTGTCCTTCAATCCAACAGCAGAAATTTTTTTCTGCAAAAAAAATTTGAAAAAAATACCCAAAATTTGAAATTTGAAAAAAAAATTTATCTAAAATTTGAAACCCAAAATCTTATCCGAAAATATTGTCCAAATTAATTGTTTAGGTAAACAAATTTGTTAAAAAAACAAAAAAGTGAATAGCATTTGCCCTTTGCCATGGCAACTGCTGGAAGTGCATTTTACTTTTTGCAAGGGCATGCACTATTCATGTGAATAGTGCTTTCCCTAGTTCCCCCCTTGCCATAGCAAGGGTTTCACTGTTAGAAGTGCCCTTAGTCCAACCTGGATCCCAATCCTTATATTAGAGCCCAAGCCATAAGACATGCACCATAGAATATGTACATACAATTTGATAAGGGGAGTGGGGATTGTAACTCTAGCGGTTAGGAGCATAAGGTCGAATGCTGAATACCCTCTCTCTTATTACTGTTTGAAAGTCCGAATGCCCTCTCTCTAATTATCATTTGAAAAATAAAAATAGTATGCACCAATTTTTAATGTGTCACGTCTTCATAGTCTTCTAAATTCGAAACGAATGCGTTGTGTGCTTCTTGAGTGTAATCTGAAATGCTACTTGGGTTTGTAGATTTTCTGCCTGTTTGACTACTTCTCTTCCGAGAACTTATTTGCTTCTTGTATTGCATCTAAATTTTGCAGCTCAAACTCTAGCTTCTTTTCCCCTTTACAATCCATTGATTTTCTTTTCCCTCTCATTTTTGAGCTACTTACACACAATTTTGGTGCCATTTGGGTACACACTAATTCTTGTCCACGTCATGCAGATATAAACGCCTGCGGTTTGTCAAAATTTCTGCACATTTAACCTGTGAAGCCCGCATAAAACTCATCCATGTTTGTCTGTATTAGTTCTTCAAGTTTCTCGGATTGCCCAGATTATAGCATCTAAAATGGGTATGAGTTTAAGTAAGAATTGAGAAATAAAATCTGAAAACTTAGTACACAACATATAAGCAATTCTAATATAAGCTTGAACTACACCCAAGTAATAGTTACACATTGTAACTGAATCTTGTCTTATCTTGCGTTTGCTGGACCTTTAAATCAAATTAAACCGCGTTTGCTTAACTTATAAAAAAGTGCTTATCCAAGTTAATCCAAGGTGCAAATTGGATTTGAGTTGGTTGGTTTGTCCAACACAAATGTCTCACCATTGGCACAAAGGATAGTAGAGCAACTCCAAGAGATTACGCCTAACCCAGCCTACCATAATAGGCCTGAAGTCCAACAACTTGAATTAGCAATTGGTTGCCACTAACTACAATATGTGTGTGCTTTTAGTTCAGTTACATATTGTAGAATTCATTCCAGAAATAAAACTGATTGAATTGTGATCATTTGGACAGCACAAAAAGGCAAACGAAGAAAACGATAAAGTCAGCTTATTTCCAGTCTCCAAAATTTTTGAATATATCCCAAAATACTATTTAAGAATAGCTCAAGTTTCAGTCGGACAATTTACAAATTTAGTTCCCCCAAAAAGATCCCAATAAACGTTTATCTACAAAGTAGGTATTTTCAAAGAGAGAACTCCAAATTTCTCTTCACATAGAGACCAATGGCAACAAAAAGGATAAGAATGGGGAAAACGCAAAATACTTGGGAGCTAGAAACGTTAAGTACTTGGGAGTTTAATAATGACGATACCGTCATAGAAAAATAGAGTCTTACGTTAGAGACTGTACACCTTTTCTGCATGAAGCCTGCAGCTTTCAAGAATCAGATTTGTCAATAACCTCTGCCGGCAAGTTCAGATCAAAAAACCCACCTCCAAGAGCCCCCTTCCTAGCACGCTTTCGAGAAGAGCATCCACTCTCATCTGAACTTCCAGAACCTGAAGGTTGTTCTGGTTCCGTTGATCCTCCTACATTAGAAGCATATTAGCAAAACCTTACACATGTTAGCCTGAGTTATCTTCTATTTTGCATCCATCATATTCCATACATGAGAGAATATACTAAGAAATTCTTTTTTCAACTTAAAAATGGAAGAAAAAAGAATATTGATGGTTTGCAACCCCAAGAAATTTCTTTCAGCAAGTAATTTGCACCCCAAGAAAACATAATATTAACTACATTACATTGCTTTTATTCATTTAAAGAAAAACTCACGGTGACTACTATGGATCAAGGTTTTTATAAGTAAAGAAGTTTTTTTGGGTCATAAAAGTAAAGAAGTTAATCCAAAAGAAAATTACCAAATTTCAATGTCAAGAAGATGTGATGCAATGTTGGAAGTGCTAGCAGAACAAGAACAAAGTCAAAGGGATACATGATGGGATGGATAAAAAGACAGGAAAAATGTAATAACCACTGTGAGTGGGTCCTGCAGAGCCCATACGAATTAAAATATAAAAAAGGTCCAATTATCTTATCTTTCTACTGGATTCCAATCAGATATCAGTTCCACGATAATCTATTCAACTAAGAGAAAAGGCAGAAGAAGCTGACCACAATAGAAGCAAAAAAGCCTTCAATTTTCGATATCAACTGGTCAGATTAAAACATTCCCTAAGCAGCAAAAATACTGAACATAAGCTAACATATAATCACTGTAAATAAGGGGAGACCATTATGTTTAAGCTATAGCTACATATACCAAAGCTTTTATTGGCTAATGGAGATGCATGCTAAACTTGAATTGCAATAACTACAAGCAAGAAGAGGCATATTCAAATATATAATATAAGATTGCTTGAAGACCATAAAAACTATAACAGAATTTAGGGTTTAGGGGGAATGCAATCAGGCTCCGTAGTATACCATCATAGCGACTCATAAAAAGTGAACTGGTTCAACTACTACTCTTAAGAATGCTTACACGTATATGCCCTATTTCTTTCACAATTGACGCCATACTTGAATTTTTTTCTGTTAATTAAGCGGATAAGGGAGGTAGAAGAATTCATGGAATCAACTTTACCACTTGTGCCACAATGCAATCGTAGATCTTTATCAACATTATTAGCTTTATTGACCCAACAAACAGTAAGTTCTGATGCCTTCTCAATGCCCTTTGACTTGTAAGGAGCTATATTGTGGATACCAAGTTGTAGAGAACCCAAAAGATCACTCTCAATGCAGTCATACCTGCATGCAGTTAAAAAAAAAATCATGTTTTGATGAGAATCACATATGTACACAGATACATTTATAACAGCAAGTTCAATTAAGATATTTTTCTGACTGCCATTCTCACATTTTCTGACAGAGGGTATCAGTGATTGCTGAGAGATTGATCACTTGCATCCTTATGTCCATAACTTCATTCTCATTATAATCATCAAAAGGTGCCTCCAAGAACTTGGATAATTTCTCAACATTTTCCTCAAGTTGCTGCTGCTGGTCCTCAAACAAATGCTGTTTTATTTCCCTTTCCTCCTTTGTCATCTCATCCTTAAACAGCTCTTCTCCAAACATGTAAAAAGCAAATGGGTATGAATATGAAAGAACTCTCCTTGACCTGAAAAGTCTGGAGAGTCCATTATTTACCCAGCTGAAATCCCTGAGCCTTGAGTC